CATATTTTTATTATAATTTTTAAAAAAAAATTTATATTATTATTATTTTTGTAGAATTTTTTTTATTATGAATTTTTTTAAAAATAAAATAAAATAAAAATAATGATTTCCTAAACATATCTTTTAAAAATGTTAAATCTATGAAAAGAATCTATTAGAAAAAGGACATTTATTTTATTTTATTTATATAATTACTAAATACAATAGTTATTAACTCTAATTCTTTAAACTTAGCTTTAAGTAATTTTATGCATCTATATATAAGTTTCTACCTTGATAACCTCCAAAACTATAATAATTTTTAAAAAAAGAACAAAAAAATAATTCAAATATTGTTTATATTATGAATTATTTTTAGATAAAATTTGATAGATCTAATCTGCTAGACTTTAAAAATTATAAGAATATTTCTTACATCATCTAATAGATACTTAATATCTGATATTAAGGTTTTTCATTTGATCTATGCAATCAATATCAGAGAAACAGATCCAATTTTTTAAAATTGTTCAGCCAAGATACATCACAAATTTTTGAGCATGTGTGACTTGCCATAAAATCTAGCTACATGCAAATGAAGTTAGACATTTCTACAACATTATAGATTCCAATACATGATTATTTGAAATAGGTCTAGAGGCTACACAAAATCCATCCATATTTGATTTTTATATTGTAAAAGAATTGATATCAATTTGTGGTGTTGGACATTCTCTCTGTGAGCAGCATAATTTGTGGTTTTTTTCCACTTTAAAAGTAAGATTAGTTTCTGTCAAATTTACTTGTAAAATTCAATAATTAATTATCCAAATTTGGTTTCTTTTCAAAAGGACATGCCCTTTAACTATTTGGTTGCAAAAGAATGAAAAACAACTACAATGATGAGCTTGGATCAACCCTCATTTGGTTGGATAAGTTCAACATCCTTCTTTTACAATTCAGCTGGCTTATTTGGAAAACAGCCCAACATGGAAATACTAAGTTTTTTTTTTTTTTTTTTTTTTTTTTTTTTTTTTATTTATAGAAAAGTAAAGATGTTTTAAAGGGAATTTATGAATTAAATTCGAAAATAAATAAATAAATAAATAAATAAAACGCACTCACATATGTGTATAATGGATATAAAATGCAATTGAAATCCTACACCACCCACAAGAGACCCTATTTTTTCAACATGCATCAATAGATTTTGTTTGCTTCATTCCATGTAATTCCATATCCCAGTCTATACTTTGTTTAGTTGATTAACAGAAACGAGGACTTCCCTTTTTCTTCTAAAAAAAAAATTAAACAGACCAAAAGAAAATAGAATGAAGAATTTGATGCTTTTGCAAATCCGGAATGTGCCTCAACCATGGCCTGGACACACACACACACACACAATTTTCTGCACTGAATCTGCTCCTCTTCATGGGCAACCTCCACCCACCATTCACACAAGCCTTTGGGAATTACATATTGTTTTTGCCCTGTATGATGTGGCAAAACCCCACTTCCATGTGGGGTCCTTGTGAATGCACACTCTTTGCACATGAAAGCCCAATTTGGATCACTCACCCCATTTCATGTCCCCAACAACGGGTCCTTGCAAAAATATTTAAAGAAATAAACAAACTTATATATATATATATATATATATATAGTGGAAAATGGCTATGTAGTTCAAACTTGACAAGGTGATTGCAAGAGAGCATCTGTTATGAAGCACATTCTACCTTGCTCAACACAAACAGAATGTGATAGTTTATTATTAATCATCCTTTAATGGGCAGCATGGGATATTGATTAATCACTATAAAGTTAAATAGTGGTGTTGACCTTAATCATGCTTTGGTGTGCTTGAGTTTCCCAAATACCTAGTGGGTTGAATTTGCTACTCAAGGTATTGATTTTAATATAAATTATTTAAACCATAGCCGTCCTTTACAGTTTAGCCACACAAAATTTATTCCTAAAAAAGCATCTAAAAGAGGAGGAGACAGTGGTTTCATTCGAAATTTGAACAATATTCTACTTGAGTTTCATGTGTGTTTGTAACATCTATCAAAGGACAAGAAGAAGAAGAAAAATGAAAGGAAACTGAATTTTATTTATTATTTTTTTGCAAAAACCACTGACGCCCATGTGCTATTGTGCAATAAAAAAAGGGTGGGAATTTTGCAATTGGAATTCAAAATTACAACACTTTATGATACTATTTATTATTCTAGTTCTCAAGGTTCAACTATTTTCATCCTATTGATAATTTAAGGTCATTATGGACAAGAACTTATTTTCCTATACCAATAAAATCACATCTTTATTGAAGTACCCGTGAATGGTTTTATTAATAGAAATGACAATGATGTGATTCTATGGGTTGGTCACAATATTTCATGGTGGAAAATAACTTAAAAGTAATTTTTTCCACTTATATGTTTAATTTAAAAGTAGCTCTAATTTTACTGTGAGGAGAGGGAAATGAAGGGAAAAACAGATCGTGGAGATTTCAAAATGAACATAATGTTTCAGTGTTTCCACGTCAGCTCATTCATTATGCTCTGTTGTTTTTTTTAAAAGTCCACGTGGCTTGTGAGTCCATGTCAGCACCACACATGTGGAAAGAGCAGTATTCCCTACACATGAGCATTTGCAGCAATGATGGACAATAATGTGTTAAAATATTGATATTACATTATTTGGCTTTGATTGCAACTGTGAAAATTTATTTTTATAGAGAAAGTAATGTATTTTTGTGATTTATGTTGGAGTACGAATCACTTCTCTATTGTAATGTTCTTCAGCATGTAAAATAAATGGATTTTTCCTTAAATAATACTTCTTTGAAAAATATAAATATAAATCATAGTTAGATTTTAACAGAAAAGAAAAGGGAAGGAAAAACGTGAGAATACAAAAATAAAATTTAAAAATGCTTCATTAATACAGGAATGGTTTGTAGAAGAACATAAGATACAAGTATTGTTAATTCTAGCAATAACATTATCTTTGTGACTCTTGATATTTCTTATTGTATCTCTACCAAGAAATGTCAAAAAATTAATAACAACTAATGTGTTATTGTATTACAAGAATGGTGTGTAGAATAGCACTAGAATTTTCTGCTTTTTTCGTCCATTTCTGCACTTGTATCCCGAAAATGTTGCTGCGGCGCGCCTTCTCTGCCGCGGTTGTCACTTTGCAACTTTGCGCACATTAGTTGAGTTTTGATGCCGTGAATGCCTTTCAGAATGAGATTGAGAACCTGAACTAGTAATTGGTCACAGGCTATTATTTAACCTATGCACCCATCTGTACACAATAGGAGCAATGGGTTTGTGGCAGTTTATCGTCAAATGACGTCGATGTCACATCTCGATGTCACAGATGGTGGGATTGTTTTGGTGACGCCGATGAATTCATGAAGCTTCTCTACTTGCCCCACTTACACCACCAGGTTGATTGTACAAAAATTTACTCGACTTTTGATTGAGAATGCTATACTGGAAATGTCCTATTGCAGTCGCGGATATACCAATTTGTGTACTGTACATTAGTATTGTTATTCACTGTTATAAGTTGACTCAAAGTTTCTTAAAAATTGACACAGAAATAGTTCAATACAATGCACACTTGCACAAGATAACATGCTGCAAAGCATCAGTTGCTAGGTGATAGAAGGACCTGACATCCCTGTTACATAACCGGTAGATTTTGGCTCTATTATGGTGAAACTGTAACTAAAATCTCTAGCCACTTATTATTAACACTTGAAAACTGTATCAAGATTCAATTCAAGAGAAGACAGCATGAAATTTGGTTCAGGAATCCAAAGAAGTATATGGAACTTGAAACATGTGTTACTCTCTCTCTCTATCTCTCTCTTGGTCAATTCTGAGCGGAATTTTGAGCTGAAAATAGCTCCAGTTCTTAGGGTGCTGAAGTTAGGCGTTACAAACCACCATCAAAGTGGACGTCAAGGTCGAAACGCCTACGCACAACCAAACTCTACACAATCGCCTTATCTCTACAACTTCACTTCGATGCTCAAGGAATAGATAATTGAGGGCTTACAGCAACAGTTGTCTCACCTCAACTCAATGGCTCAAGATGAAAACGCCACGGTTCAATGAAGCGAATCAGTCACTTCAACATGCTTGACACCGACATGAGCAAAATTAAATTGCTTACAAATCTCTCTATACGACACAAAATCAACTCAACTATCAAAAATCGTCTGGTAATGCAATCTTCGAAAGCGAATTCGCTGGTTTCTACCGTTTTTCGTTGATAACTATTGTATTCCAAGCACGCCAATCCAATGTAAAATAGGAAATTTCGTGACAAGTTATCAGACATAGGGTAGATTTGATATTACGAAAAAATTGAAGGATATGTGTGCTATTATCAAGAATATGGGGTATTCTTGATATTTCAGAAAATTTCAGAGGTACTTTTGAAAATTTCCCTTTATTTTATGGGCAAGTGGTCCTTCAAAAACTCCTACATGACCTTATTAGCTACTACATTAAGGAGCAAGACTTAAGTGATTCTCAATGTTGTCTGATAATACTAAAGGATGTGGAACCTTGATTCTAGCACTAGCAACTGCTTACGACGTAGCTACACACATACAAGCATCGAAACCCAAGATTATATGTCTCAGTTGCTTCGTTTACATGATCACAACTCACTGTTGCAGCAGACGTGGCAAAGAGTTGAGATTTTGCAACTTAGCTCCATCGTTGCAGTGTCAACATTGTGTGCTACTCAGACTAGAAATTTGTGTTGGGTCTTTCATCGTGGTAGTGGATATCAAGGTTCATCCCCAAAACGCTCTCCCAATGCTTGGTCAGGGGATAAGGATGGCAATGAATATCATGCTCAAAAGAAAGATGTGTGTGGCTAGAGTGCACTTGCAGTAAATGGAATGATGATGCTGTAATTACAAGAGAGGGACTAGCAACACCTATTTCAAGACTCATTTCTACATACTCTCGACGTATCTTCTCATCTCAGCATCGAAAAGCGAAGCTTTCTTACAGCGATGAACACTACACATGTTCGTATAAACTTCTTCAGTTGAGCTAAATGTTACTAACTGTACATTGTCGAAAGTTCGCCCTACTTATCAACACTAGTGAATACTGATTAGCATCCTTCTACCTGTGTCTACCATGCACAGTTCCAGGTATCCTATGTCGGAATCACACATCTAGTTTATGGTACACTCCTGATTCTATGTTACAAGGTTGATAACTCCATCAAAATTTTTGGCATTCGCTTGAAACCTCTGATGCTGATCACCACCATCACCACGATTGGCGACCCTTCACCTTAAGATGAATTGCGTCAAGATTCGTGTTCCATTTCTGCAGTGGTGAGCTAAGGGATTTTGATATTTCGAGATAATGTTCATTCCAAGCTCCTGTCCATAGATTCATGACAACATAAAGGCTTGGATGTTTTCGAGAGACGATATGGTAGAAACATCCGGAAATGGCAAATACTCCCCCGAGTATCGTTGACACTGATAGGGCATCTGGTAAGAAGATGCAGGAGCAGTGAGGCAGTCGAGATAAGATTGGGACAACCCTGGTGAGGGATCAGCCACACTAGGCACGAGATTGGTAGAGAGGAAATCCGGTAACTGTAGTGAGGTAGTGTTGAAGGGAGCCCCCATTTCCTGAACTGGAGGTCTACCTGAGAGCGGCATCGTTGCGGTCCTCGGAGCAGATGATTGGTGCATGAAGTCTGCCATAACGTTGAAGAATTCGTTGTCATTGAATGAGAAAACTGGCTCTGTCTTCACCTGAGTGTTGGGGAGCAATGGGATGTTGAGGTTAGGAAATGCAGTCTTGCTGTGGTCGAATCCAAAAGGTGAGTCCAGGGGACTCTTCGGAGAAGCGGACTGCTTAATTCCTTTCCGACTACGACTGGATCCAACAACTAATAGAGCCGAATCATCCGAACTGGACGCCGATCCACTACCGTTCATCGCAAGTGATCGTTGCCGCTCGAGATTAGTGGAGGCATCCTTCAGAGCGACGGGCTTGTCATTCTCACACGGTGATCTCTTCAGTCGCAACCTGGTGTCGCTGGAACCAGTCAGCTTCTGAACCAACGACATGAAATCATCTGGCTTGGAGTGAATCACTTCAGGGGAATAGGTGTGTATGATGATCGGAGGTGGGTACTACGCTTGTGGTAGAGGCAAGGACGGTTTCCTAACCCGATGAGAGCCCTTGCTCACTCTGAGTGCGGATGTCCAACCACTACCAATTTCCCGCTTCCGAATGCCGAAGTGCATTGAACTGTCTGCATCTATCTTGCCACTCGTCATGGCCAGCAATGTAATGTGGCACGCTTCCACCGAAATCGCTGTCCTCCGTCACGGCGGCGACAGCACTATAATACACAGAAGTAAACGGACTCAACCTGGATGTTCAGATATCCACTCGCGCACCAATTTCTTCACAATCTTGGTCACTTTTCCACGACAGTATCTCCGCATATGACCAGTAAACTAGACGAGTCAGCTACTAAGATTGTAAACCACAACTTGAAATCTAGATAAGGAAAATAAACAAATAAGCGGACAATTTGAACAATGAACTGTACTCTGCACACGTGCGTAAATCGATCCAGAGAAGTCAAGTATAGGAGAGAAGAGCTAAGAGATAAGGGGAGAGAAGGCGCAGCCAGCAATGACAAAGGCAGGGATTGGAGTGATGTGGATTTATATGTACTGTTGGAGCAAGGATGGTTTTTTATGGAGCTGGGACAAGATGATGCCACCAGCAAAATCTGCCACAGCTTGCGGGGCATCTAAAAGGCTCTCGATGTCAGTCTACATGTGTTCCAGTGATTACGGTGGTGTTGTTGTCATTAATGGGTCCTTTGAAGGAAATTGAAAACTGTGATCTAGACAGTCCACGCTGCTCTGCTTCCATCAATTCGTGCTGCGAGCTGGTTCTCTCCACCCGCACATGGAGCAGGCGGTGGATTCCTTTTGATTCTTCCAACTCTGAAGTGAAGAGTTGATACAAGAGATTCTCTCCATTCAAAGCAATCGCACTCTTAATCCAACGTTATATACAATGTCACCTTTTATAAGTATTTAGGTTTAAAGCATTGAGTTGAAAACTGTAGTAATCCTAATAAGTGGATAGAGGAAGCATTTTAAGATATGTTAAGATTAGCAAGGTTGTTCGTTGTTTCTAAGAAAGCTTGTGAAGTTTTTTTAATCTGATAAAAACTTGAATAAATTGTATATATAGATGAAAAAAGTTGTTGTTGTTTTTTTTTTTTTTTTTTCCAAAATATGTTTCACATGAAGAGATGGCACCTCCTCCTCCACCTCATCATCTTTTGCTGCTTCTGCTCAAGTTGTGCAAGCACTGTTTGCAGTGTGTCGAACAGTGTTGACCTGTGGCTGATTGCTGAAACCCTTCGAAGATATCACTGAGAAGACGCTTTAAAGGAACAAAGTAGATGCTTCGAAAAGAATATGCTCCTTACCTCTAATCAGTGGTTTGACCTCCTGCTTCAAAGCTTAGGGGGTGATGATTATGTAGAATGCAGAGTCAACTCCGCATTAAAAACAGAAATAAACGAGTTGGAAGTCAACGAACTGGAAGTATCCTCTTTAATCAATGGGTGAGAAAGACAAACTTCATGGCATTCACGGCATTGTCTACCTGTTTCTTCGTAGTAATGGTTCCCGGCATGAGTTCAAAAAGTAGCCAGCCCTAGTCCCAGGCCTCAACTAACAGTTTGAACACCTTCTCGCTGGTTGAACTGAATAAATATACTGCAATCTGACTTGACTCCCAGACGGTCTTGAATGGTCCATTGAGAACCGTGGAAGACCTTCATGTAACAAATGGAGTAAAACGCAACCTGTTTACGTGGCTCAGAGTAGAGAGGAAGGAAGAAAGTCCTGGATTGATTTACAAGTTTATACTTCCAAGGATAATACCGTTGGGTCGACACCATATTTGCACGCTAGACATGCAGAGAAGGTTGTTTGCAAAGTAGAGGATCATTGAAGATTTGAAGAAATGGATTCTACTGCCACATAAGAATCCATTTAAATGCATCTTAATGGCATCTGAATGGAAACAAGAATTAGCACACGGTGTGGAGAGTGGAACAAAGGTGACTCGATAATACTAAATTTTTGCTAACCACTAATCGATGCTTTGGTCTTTCATTTTTTCACCCACTCGAAAGTAAGTAATCACTGACAAACCCGTCGAAGGAAAACACAAATTAAAACGAAAGAACCAACGGATTGTAGCAGATCATGCATGAACAGTGGTGGTTGTCTGGCCAGTGATCAATGGAAGGGCAAAAACAGCATCGATAAGCCCCCAAAGTTTTGTCAAACTACAAAATTAGGAAGGAACTGTGGTACCTTTGCACCGACCATTGACGTAAAACAAATCCGTCTAGAACCACAAATTTCGATATCCATAGCACATCAGTGTGATTCTTGCAATTAAATTAAGCACAATTCAAGAGTTGTTTACCTGTGTTTCCACCAGTGCAGGGAGGGGAATTGCTGCTCTGCAGGGGAATACAAAGCGTGGTGGGGCCGGGACTTGAAGAACGAACTGTGACGATGAAGGACAACCCAGCAGAACAGTTGGCTGAATGGCATCTGAGGAGCTAGCTTCCTGGAGTGTCCTTTAAATGGGCTTGATTCCTGGCACACTCTCCCGGGCTTTCAGCTTCACAGTGCCTACCTGGCAAGTCTTCGTTTGTTTGTTTTCCGAATAGTGGAAGGACTTTCACCCTCGCAGTCCCACCTCCATGCACGGTTGGCATGGCGTTGCCCCCATTCGACTGAGAGTTCAGTAAAAATTGTTTACAGAAACTGAGCAGTTGGCTGAAAAAAAAAATGAAGCTTTCAGTTACGACTAGCAAAGGTTTGAGGTTTTGAATTACAAATGACATTGAATGGTCAGACCTGTGCTCAGTTGATGAGCAGGGCGACACAGAATCATATTTATAAAAAGTGCTGAGAACCATCAGACTGGAACGTCCCAAAAGCGCCACGATAAACAAATATGCATCCCAGAGACAAATGTTACCTTTGAGCTGACAGGCAAGTGAAGATTAGAGCTGGCCTGCAGCAATCCTGCAGAGCGTTTGTTTTTTGAGGGCCCATTCACAGATAAAAATCTCTTCAGAGATTATTACGATAAAATATCAAGCATCTTCACTTTTACCGCAAGGTACCAACCTCGATGACCTAACCAAGCGAGGATACTATTAGTGGATGAAGCGTTGTCTATCACTTCCCCAACAATCATCAGCAACGTCTTGAGCATTGTGTTATTAAAAAATGTGAAAAACGCAAACGTATGAAGGCCCCCATGTTGCATTGCCCAACGAAGGTTTCAAGAAGCCAATTTTCTAAGTACATTTACTGCTGAGTTCCTGCTATGAAGACAAATGAGTCGCTATGCTGTGGTGGGTGGTTTGATATTTCTTTTCTAGAATAAAATAAGAATGTGCTCTTCTGTAATAACCGAAAACCGTTTTGCCAAATATCAAACGTTTGAATGCGTCGATGTACTTCAAAGCCAGGTCTGAACAATACAGTATGTCTAACAGCCGCTTTACTTGTCAACTGCGAGTGCATTTTTACCCTCTCACGGCACGGGTATGTATATCTCCATCAGTATTTCTCGACACATTTTATGGCCACAAATGTTTTAGACTCCTCGATGTCTGCTACATCTATTGCGAGAAAAAACTATCGCAGTTGGGAGAAATTTCAGAATAGACGATTCTATTCAATATACAGCAATTTCTCTTTGTGCGAGGTATCTGCGATCGGCGAAAAACAAAAAAAAACTCATTTAGATTAACACCGAACCTTTGGGATAGTAGTGGCAAATCCACATGGCAATGCTGCAAGGTCATATATGACACACTCAAAGAGCTAACCAAAGCATGGGTTGTCTAATCTTTGATCTGAGTTAAATTCATGAATTCAAGCTTTATCAGCAATGAGCATAGTTTGAAGGCTTGCTGGGTAACAAACAATTCAAGAGAGTTCTAAATTGAACAATATGAATATCCAAAATAAGCTGATACAAATCCGAGTTGGGCAAACTGACTGAGACAAAGAATGGTTACGCACCCTTGTATCAAAACTTGACCATCAACACAAAAGTCGGGCATGAGGATACATTAATCAGATTTATGCAAACACTGGTGTCATTAAACTAGTTTTCAACCCCTACACAAGCACACAGTTTTGAAGCCACAAAGATGAGGCACTTTTTCGCTTTATAGCACACATCAAATCTGAACAAATAAAAATTTAAGATCTGAGTTTTAGGACTAGTGGCTAACCTCGGGGTTTATCAATTAAGTCCAACAGATCACATTCAAGATTGATGCATCTGGTTGGTCGCAGCATCAAAATAATGGCTAAATCTTCAATTTCCACGCAAGCATAAAATTCTGCAGCTGCACGATTACAGGGATCATTATCACGCCCGAACAGGTTACGCGAATACAACTCGAAGTCGAACAAATCGTATTAACTGTCTAGACGACAGCTTAAGCTCCACAAAATTTATTAAGGGGAGTACAGATTTGCAAGTTTACCAACGGCTGCAATATACCAGTGACTTGCATCAAAACAGAGAATGTTTTTGTATTAAAAAAAAATTGAAAGTTAAATTTAAAGTGGTGAGATACTACTTTACGAAATGGACATGGAAACTGATAAATTTTAACTTGTACTTACAAGTCAGTAATAATAATGCATCACTCACTATGCATTTAGAATTAATGTATAATGATTTCGTAACAAAAACTTCCTACTAGCAAAGTGCCTTCCATGTCAACACCAGGTATTGTTATATCTATTTTCTTTGCTAATTTGTTAAAAAGACAAGTGAATCCCGAAATGTGTATGAATTTCCAACTCCATTGTCACGAAATTGAATCTCCACATTGCCCTCGTTTTCACAGCTCTTTTTCGGTTGAAACAATAAAAAAAAATTCACAACGAAGTTCTCTGTACCTTGCTTTTAGTCGGTGACTCTACTAACGGCCTCATTTGAATCATGAGTCCCATTGTTTTGCCAAATTGCTGCTATGCAAGAGGGATTTCACAAATTCCAAGCAAGGTAACTACATCAGTGTTACTGAGAACGTGTACTCTTCATCCCACTTTGGTTTCGTGTTTGCTGTTTGGCTGCATCAAACACATACTGTAGATCATCTAGACATACAGTGAGAACATGTCGGAGGATGAGGATCAAACCAACTTCTACCCTAAGACTTAAAGCGAACATTTCCAGATGGGTCTTATTCTGGCCATCAGTGTGACAACAAAGAAGAGGTCATAAAATTTCAATGAAAGTCTTCATTATTCGAGAGACTTACATCTACGAGATTCCAGAGTAAGACATGCTACAAAGATTTCGACAGAGATAAAAACCTACGTTTGACTTCTTTTAGTCACAAGTAATAACAAGTAGAATATTTTGTCACAAACCAACTCAGGAGAAAAGGAAAATATCTTAGAAACGTCGGAGACTGAATGGTAGGGTGTGAAGGCACGAAAAGCTACCTTGTGAACATTCTGGATGGAGAAATGTAATAACTCATCAAATGGGTGCGGCGGCTGGTTGACATAGTGTAGCAACTCATTTAGTCTAGAACTATCGACGACGGAAGGATGGCCTCAGAAACGCTGCGACCACAACAAGACTGTTCTTTGCGTGCTCAATTCTCCGCTCTGCACAATGGTGCTAGAACGTCTTTGCAAAGGTAGCGAAAATCCATCTCAGCTCATAACATTTAGACTTGTAAAGGGCTTCACGATATTTGTACGCTTAGCAGCTTATTAATCTTCTGATCGTTGAAAAAAATCCTAGAACTCTGGTTAGACCGGACGGAGTTTTTCTTTGTTTGCGTTCAGAAGTTAAATAAAAAATTGCAATGAAATCAAAATGAGATGAACTGTAATTAAATTGAAACTTGACCTTAAGTTCCAACTCCACCGCACTAACACCAACACAAAACACAATGCTTGAGCCTGCAATTATAGTATTTTTGCAATAAGGTGGCATGTTTTAGTGAGACTACGTAATGGCACTGAAAAAGCTGCCTTCATTACTCATTGCTCGGAAATTTGACCACTAGAACATGTCATCCTTGTCGATTCGTTATATTTTCCACAACGGCCACTCATTTGAAGCAGCTTTTGTCGTAACAGCATGTGTTTTATTACGTATAAGGTATAGACCAACTGAAGCCTGTGTTGAGGCATCAGACCCGACAAAATTACAAAGCTTCCCAAGTTCTAAGTAAGCGGTTATTGCAAGCAACTGTTTGTGATAGTAAGAGTAGCGAGGCTTCAACAAACTATTGATGAACTTCAAGATATCTAAACTCTAAAGATACCCATACTCAAGCCTCGTCCCTCACAAAGCTAAGATCTTACACTCACTTTTTTCTGTCGCAACGCATGAATCTTGTAGCTGCAACATTTTTGAACAAGAATGAAATGCACATACAGATAGTCCACAGAAATCTCAAATGTGTACTTACATCTGGCGGAAAATTAGGACTAGCTCGACGATCAACAGATAGGAAAGGTTGTTACAATATTCCGGACATGGGTACTATTTTTTATTTTTTTAAATTACTTACAAAACTCGCTTAAACAACATGGCTAAACATCCAACTATGAGTTGCACTAATGCACGGCAAATGAAGACAACATAGAAGAACTGTGCTGTGAAACAATACTGTGTAATACATACTCGCCAATTGGACCGCCCCGATCATTACTGTGAAGCTCCACGAGTTTAGAACACAGGGCCAGGCTCTTCTTCGCAACCGCACACTCGTGTATGAGACGGTCTTCATTGTTGGTGTGGTTTATCAGTAGTATCCCTGAAGACCATAGTTCGAGACAAGCTTTCCTTAGCTATGAACTCCCCATATCAAAAGAGAAATGCGCAGATTGAACTATTAACCAAAAGAATGAAGATACAGACAATGACTTCGATGCAAAAAGTCCAACAAAACCATCAAACTCATAATCCGAATTTCGTATTGATATCTTTAGGATTTAGATAATCCAAACTTTGAAGTGAGAATATTTTGACAGAATGAAGCTTTTCATGTTTAAATTTTTTTGAGTAGCCTAGCATCTTTTGAATAAAATTTCAATTTTAAGGTATTTTTGTAGTTAACTTACAACCAATACCATTTTTTTACAAAATTAACTTAATTCCGTATAAATATAAATTTTATAGAAAGTTTGTTATAGAACTTTATTGAATCTTTAGTGAATAGTGTAGGTATACAATCTATTAAATTTATCCAATGTCTACATCAAAGCTATTTATTGGCATTTAAATTTATATCCTTCTATTCTTTATAGTAAAATTTGGCAAATGTTTAATATTCTAAAATTTATTATAATATTCATGTCTTGTTGTTTTTTTTTAATATTTTTTAATATATATATATATATATATATATATATATATATGTTTATAGTAATTCTTTTTTATTTCAAAAAATACTTTTAATCTTACTTATTTGCTACTTTTTAAAATTTTTGAACCACAAAATGATAAAGAAAAATTAATAAGAATAATTGAAACTTTTGGTAGAATTATTCATGATATAAATCTTAGTTTAATTGTCATTTTATTTACTCTAGACTAATCTAATCGGAATAAACCTATATAGGAGAATTTGAACATGGGGAAAAACTATCTGCATGAGTTTTCACGTTAGGGTTACATAATTAATTATCTCCTGATCAACTAAAACATCCAAGAAAGCTACAATGTCTTCTACATTCTATTAAATGAAATATTGCAATCAATAATTCCATGTTCGCATTCACTGTCTCTTCTCTTTATTAAAACTCATAACAACGATATGTTATACTACACTATCTTAAAAGACAGCATATAACATTCCACAATCCAATCACTGGAATTCTCAAAAACTAATTGGCATTCCCAGTAATCTACTTCACACAATTCCAAACTCTACAGACTTCTTCTTGTGGCACACTTTCAACTCTCAAAAATCAATGTATTATAATTCTCCCAGTCAAATCCATACTTCACAAACATATTCCATTATCAAATTTCCAATTCTTTACTTATAATTCAACACACAATAAATTTATATTCTCATTTGACATCATATAAATCAACTTTTTCTTTCATCACAAAATTTCACTTCACATTATTCAGAAACTATCCATTACTCTTCTTCTACAAAGAAAACAAAGAAACAAAGAAGTAGCACCAAGCTTACCGTGGCTCATGACTATCACAGTCTAGCCCCTATTACTTTCCTCGAGATGCCAGCATCAAATTACTAGCTTCTCTTAACCCTACATATTATGTATTGTAAAACAAAAAAATCCTACCCATTCTACACTTAATTTACCAAAAGTTGTGGTTTAAAACACACATACACACACACCCATATATATATATATATATATATATATATATATGGATTGGTAGAAGTTGTTTTTTTCAAAAAATAAATAAAAATAAAATCAACTTGAAGATCAATTAACAATATTAGTACTACATAATATTCTATCTACACATATACATATATCAACTTTTTGGTCATTAATGTTTTGTTGTATGTAAAAATCTTTTCATATTGAAGAATCTTGTAACATAAATTTCTTTTTGATAACATTTTACTTTGCACAATCATTCAAGTTAGAAAGAATCTTGAAAGTGTAATGAGCCTCTTTTCTACTAAAAATAGAAAAGTATCAATGCCTTGTGTTTGTTTGGACCTCATGTGTCTCTTCATGGAGGTAAAGAATGCCTGCTGTGGTGTTTAAAAGTGATGCTATTTGTCTCAAAAATGGTGACCTGGTTCCAAAACATGGAGAACAGGTTGGGATCTGTTCACTGCAAGGCTGTGTTTGTGGTCTTGTTTGTTTTCTGCTCTTCTATACATATGAATTTCATATGTTTCGATTCTTTGGATTATTGCATCTGCTTAAGGCAAAAATAAATATTATTGACTAAGCAAATGATTAAGAATGTATTAAAAATTGAGCAATTTTTTTTATATGGCTAACACATTTGTTAATACATTCATCAATAAATTATCCAGATTTTTTTAATATGTGTATTCAATTTTTGTTAACACAGAGACAATTTTATAATCTATGCAAATGAGTTGTTCTACTATCTTTTTATAAATAAATTATATTTTGATTTTATTTTTGTTTATTTTTGCATTAAGATCGAATTTTCATTACAGTGCTAAAGTACATAGCTAGAGATTTATCTAGTGGGATTCTTAACAGTAAAATTCAAAAATACTGGTAAATGCATTATATATATAGACATAGGGGAATGTTAAAGTGATCCATGCTTTTGTTAAATCAACCCACAATCTCCATTCGCCACGTTCTCAACACACGTTGCAGTGGGATTCGAGCCATGGCAACCACTGCTCAAACTTTGGGTGGAATTGAAGCGTTGAGCTTCTCGGCTAATTGCAGCTCGATGCAGAAGCTGGGCGATGGCTTGGTGCGGGATAAGATGTGCCCACCAGCCCGGAAGCAGTTTCAAGTGCGGGCTATGGCACCCAAGAAGAAGGTGAACGCGCATGATGATGCGTGGAGCAAGCAATGGTTCGGAGCGGGGGTGTTTGCGGAGAACACCGAGACGGAGTCTGTTGACATCGTGAAGAAGCTAGAGAAGAAGTTGTTATCACAGGTGGAGAAAGCGGGGCTTCTCAGCAAAGCCGAGAGCCTGGGCGTCAGCTTGTCGCAGATTGAGAAGTTGGGGCTGCTGTCGAAGGCGGAGGATCTTGGCTTGTTGACCCTGGCGGAGAAATTCGTGACCACCAGCCCTGCGTCACTAGCGTCTGTCAAATTCCCAAGCGTCTCGGGAATCGCGCCAGTGAGGTGGTTGTTCGTCATGTTCAGCTTCACCAAGCTGACGATGCCCCCAAGTGCCGCTGAAATCTCCCATGTCAACTCGTCTCCACTGAGCCTATCCCTGTATGATATCGGATTCACAAGCACTATCTCCGCCCAAAATCGGCAATTTGGTCAATCTGCAGAGCTTGTATATGGGCAACTGCCATTTCAGCGGGCTTATTCCGGCGGAGCTTTCGAAATGCATTGCCCTGAAGAAGTTGGACATCGGCAGGAATGATTTTTCAGTGAAAATTTTCAATGATTTTTCACCGCTTCATACTTGCGACAGTGGAGTTCGTTGTTGGCCGCCATAGATCATGAGGTCGCACCCATGGTTGCAGGAATTGGTCGATGGATCTCCGGCTTGATTGACCATAGCTATGGCCACCGTCTAATGGCAAACCCTTTAATGGTCTACTGCCGCCGGATGCCACTGAAGTAGGCACAAACCCATCAAGGATGGAGAATAAGAAGTTGAACTTCCGTTGCATGTAGAGCACTAAGTTCAAATCCTCCACAATCTGCCCAAATCCATTCTAAACGTGTCAGAGGTTTGATATCGGTACATGTGGTCACAGCAAACTGACCCACTTATGCAAATGATTTGGAGAAATAAAGTTTGGAGATGAAAATCACCTTGCTTGTGGATCCCAGCTGAAGCACACCCTCTTTCACAGAAACCACTGCGATTGTCTGGATTTCGGGCTTGAAATGCGCCTCCCATGTGCGTAGATGCCGCAGAAAAAAGTAATGTCTCGATGCTTAGTAAACGACCAGAAACCACGAAGTAGCTAGGTTTGACGAGCATTGGGATGGGATAGTGGAGCTCACAAGATACAGGGAGGTTTGCCAAGGAGACAGAAAGCTTATCTCGTTCTCAAGGTGCTCACGGTGCACCCATTTGTGGCTATTTTCGTCAGCTACTTCGCCCATTAAGTTGCAAACAATTGAGCGTTGGAGGCCAAGCAGTCGCGCGTCCGATTGCATGCGAAGTGTTTGGTCGCAAGAACAAGTCACAAGAGGTTCTGAGGCTATTGATGCTGAAGCGGAGTGTAGCGGTGAAAAGGAATGGGTCGGGGAGGTGGGGACAAGAAACGAGGGGCTGGGAACGTGGGGAACGGTGGGTTGATTTAACAAAAGCCTGGGTCACTTTGACATTCTCCCATATATATATATATATATATATATATGAAGAAGATACCAGAGTGGCTATTTCTAAGTGCCACTAAACTAAATGGTTCTGAATAAAGATTGAAATATAAACAAGATGTTTGCAATATTAAAAATGATTTAATACTGCCTCTGTATATACATTAGCTTATTAAAAAAGTATGTTAAAGGTTGCTAAGAATTATGATGCTTGTGAATAAAGTTTCTAAGTTTTAAGATACTTTTTATAATGGTTTATTTTTAGAAACTTCTAAAAGAAATGTATATAATCAAATAAGGCTTCAAAAATCACCAATATATTCAATCTTTGTCTAAAATATTTTTACTTATTAAAAAATATTATATACTTAGTTTTTATTATTGACTTCTATTTATTATATTTACTTAAGTAGTAAAAGAAAAATTACATACTACATATATCAAATATATATTTAATATATTTAATATATTAAATCTTATATATATATATATTAATAATATCTAAGTATTTAATATATAAATAGAAATCTATGTATATATATATATATATATATATATAGAAGATAAATATGATTTTATTCTCTCAATTACAAGGACCATGAAATTTCTTTTTAATTTTTTAAGAGATTTAAAAATTAATGTATGTTCTAAATTTAAAGCCAAAGATCATCTATCATGAGGAAGTGTCATGGACATACATATTTATCCTGATAATTATCTAGATAATAAGAATAGGTAGAAATAAGTCAAAGTAGATAAATATGATAATATCTTGTGGAAAGCTTCCTAGAAGCTTTATAGACACTGCTTTGCCTTTATACATGTCTATAGGTGATTGGTAGGTTGGAAACTTGGCCAACAAGGAAGCCACATGTCGACATGATGACCACTTATAGTACAAGTTGGACATATGGCGCACACCTAATAAACTTGCCTTATAAATTAGACAAGTGTTCCGCAAGTTGGATACATATTAGAGGTCCTATAGCATGTCGCCACATAGTTCTTAGTTAAGTAGTATATATAGAGGTAAGAATGAGGCCTTCCTCACTCTTATCAATTCCTTTCTTGTTTTTAGTCTAATTTTAAGAGTCTTATGTTTTCTAGTCTTTGGAAATAGCTATTCCACTTCTTCCTTGAATATACATACTTTCTTCTTTTTTGTCACTTTCTTTTTGATATAGATTCCATGAGTTTATGTATCTTCTTTCAGTTTGTGTCCGTGACAGATTGATAAGAGTATACATACAATATTAGAGCTTTGTTCTTTCTTGATTAAGAGTGGATTATCCCTTTCTCTTAATAAGATGTAAGCAAATTAGAAGTTACGAATTATCTTCTTCTAAACTGATATTGTTTATAGAATTTTTTTTTCTTGATTTTTGAATATTGTATTTTATGAGAATAAATTTTTATTTTTATTTTTATTATTTTTTTATTTTTTTATTGTGCTAGCATGGCAGAGCTTGTTAAAATGAAGAGTGCAATGGCTCAAGTGCAAGAGAAAATGAGAGAGTTAATACTTGCAATGCATCAACTCAATCTACTACCACAAGAAGCAATAAGATTATTAGGCAATGAAGATATAGAGATGATTGGTGTTGCTTCAACATCTACACTAAGGTATACTATTACTCCTACAATAGAACATTGTTCAAATTTCAAAGAATCAAAAATTGGATTGTCTAAGAAGTTTGATGGCACAAGATCTAAGTTTTGAGGATTCATCAATCAGGTACAATTAGTGATCAACTACAACCTCAAAGTTATCCAACTCAAAGATCACAAGTCAAGTTTATTGGAATACTACTTTCAAGCTTTGCTTTATCATGGTTTTCATCATTTCTTAAACAACGTGATCCAATATTTGATAATTTGAAAGCATTCTTAGCAAAGTTTTGATTTATGTATGAAGAACATGATACAATCTGTATTGCAACCAAGAAGATTTATATCTTGTAACAAGGCAATCGATCAATGATATTATATGCTTCATAATTTTAATAATTAGTGACACATATCAAGTAAGATGATGCAGCACTCATCAACCAATTTTTCTATGGATTACAATATGAAGTAAAGAAATTGATGCTTAATTTACTTGATCCTCAAACATTGAGTCAAGCAATTGGCTTTGCTATGAAATGTGATAATCGACTTTTTTAGTTTTGATTTGAGAATCCTACAAGGAAACCTCAACATTATTACAATTCAATGATGATACCAAAAACTTCATAATCTAAACATTTGGAAGTAAAAGACATGCAAATTGATGTAGTATGTTTTAAATTTCTTATCGAATAAGAAAAGACTCATTGTCGTTAAGAAGGACTATATTTATATTATGAAGAAACTAAGCAAACTACTCAATATTGTCCAAAGAAATAATGCAACTACAAAATGAGGAGTTCTACTGTCAAAGATGAAAACATGTTAGAAAAAAAATTTGTCTAGGTATAATAGAGACTGTGCAGCTAGAATCTTGTACAATTCCTAATCAAGGTCCTATTCTCTCCTCCAAACCTTCTTCTTGTTTTACAATAGATGTACATTTAAGATCTAATAATCACAAAGCCTCTGCCTTAATAGATTCAAGAGCCTCAGCTTGTTTTTTAGATGAAGAATTTGTTAAAAGTCATTATATACAATTAGTACAAAAAATTAAACCCATACATGTAGAAGTCATAGATAGTTATCCATTATCTTTTGGAGATATTACTCATGAAACACTTCATATAGATGTAATAATAAATGGTCATAATATTCATGTAATTTTTAATATAATTGGATCACCTTCTAATCCAATCATTTTAGATTTATCGTGGCTAGAAAAGTATAATCCTATAACAGATTAGATTTCTCGTAAACTTGAATTTTTTTTCAAACATCATTAAGATTTTTTCTAATTTAGTAGAAAGCCATGAATCTAAAATAGCCAAACTTGTACTTGTAGGTACAAAAGCTTTTTTGCATGCTGCAAAAGAAGAACCATCTTTTATTATTTACATTGTCATAGTATGTGTTTTTCTATCTGGGAATACACTAGGTATCTAGCTATGGAGAGATTATTTTTGATTTAATGGCTTTTTTTTCAACAACCAATTTATCTTCAATGGAGGATCAAAATAAACAATTAAAAAAAGAAATTTACATAAATTAATCAAACAAAGCTTTTATATATCATAAGCTTTTATACATAAATTTTGTCTATATAATCCAAAAGAGTCTTTATATTCTTAACTACACCTTCAACTTCTTGTGTTTACTAAATTAATTTTTAGTTGATAACCATAGTTAAAATCATCCAACTCGAATTTTATTTACAATAATAAAAAATTACCAAAATTCCACGAATATAATAATTACATTAGTAACAATAACCAAGAGTAGTAGCAATAATCAGCAATAATAATAGTACTTGGCTTTGATAACAATAACCAGTAGCAGTAACAATAACTGATAGTAGTAATAATAGCCAATAATCAGTAATAGTAATTGGCTTTGGTAACAATAATCAATAGCAATAATAATAATTGATAGTAGTAATAATAATCAATAATCAATAATAATAGCCAATAACTAGTAACAATAACCAATAGTAGTAATAGTAACTAATAACCAATAATAGTACATCTTTTAAAATTATAGAACTTTAGCACTCATTTTTTTCCAATCCAACTATTGGATTGAGCTTAAAATTTTTAAGAAGCAAGATAATACTCTTAACTTCTACCGTACAAAAAATCAATTGTATATTCATTACCGAACTCTAGATATTGTCTATTGAGTAGCAAATTTGGTACATATCACCTTTATAGACATCCATATACTGATTTCACTATATCTCATTAATTCAAAATTTAAATGCCACAAAACTTATATATAAAGTTTAATGACATGAAAATATACATTCTTGGAAATTTTTAGCTAAAATATTGTCAAATTGCACAAGATATAGCTCAAAATACAACTACTAGCAATTCGAATCACTTACTACTCCTTAGATTCCAAGTGCTGATTTCAACTTTTAATATCTCCTTTTTTACGACTTAGAATTCATTAAGAAATATACATAAATTGTAGTAAAAAAAGTATTCTCTCCAATCCTAGTTGCTAATCCTCTATTGTTTTTTGTACGTGTGCGTTATATCTAAAAAAGTGATAGCAGGTATAAAATCGATACCTCTTTTTTGAGTGCCTATATCTTCTTCATAAAAATTCCAAATGTCTCAAAATTTTCACCAAAACCATAATTAAAAACCTAAATCTGCCAATTCTAGCCTTTAATGTTTGAATGCCTCCCTATTTTGCCTTAGGTAGTCGTTTTAGTGGCCAAAAGTGTGATTTCGATCCTTTTGCACAAATGGTCGACTTTCAGGTATCAACTTAATCTATCCTAAGGATTTTTTATCCCAACCCTATCTTCAATTTAATCCTAATATCAATAATGCTAATTATTTACCTCTTTTAATTTGATTTTATAGTCTTTTTAAGGTACT